CTAAACGGGGCTCTGGCACATTTGTAAGTGCAAAGTTGAATTCCTTTCACATGTGTAGACATGTAGTGCACTTACAGTAAAAGCAGTCGCCTTCTACCCACCATGATTATCATGGCCTGCACCACTTGTACTATGGATAAGCAAAAAAATTAAACATTTGCAATTATTTTAAGACTATTGTTATGATATGCTGACAGAATGGTACAATAGGGAACTAGAAGTTTTTTCTGGTAGTTTACTTACTCCCCACCAACCACTCTCCTTGGAGATTGGATTAGATGCAGGAGGTTATATGGATTTAACAAAAGTGGATCAAGATGGATCATTCTGGGAGATCTTCCTGTGGCACATGAATTATAAATCAAATGTAATCTCTATAACTCAATATTTGTGTACACAAGGTAATAAGACCAAATCCAAATAAATAAATAGTGTGTGACATTTTGGTAAAAACGCTGTTACCAAAACGTCACACTAGTTATTTGGATTTGGTCTTATTACCTTGTGTTTATAATCTATAATCCAAATTGTGCTTTATCATCAATATTTGTGTTTCCTTCCATCCAGTGGAACCTTGTTATAGCAGCAATCAATTGTTTTAACTGTGGTTGTAATAACAAAATCATGTTTCTAGATGATGCTCTTATAACATTATTTGACTAGATAGGGTTGGAGTTATGAAACAATTATTTAAACAATTTTCTAAAAAAAACAAAGTAATAAGACCAAATATTAATAAATAGTATGTGATGTTTCGGTAACAGCATTGTTACCATCTTCAGACAAAAGTACTGAATGGTAACATTATAATTTATAATGATAAGCACAATTTGGATTATAGATTATAGCTACAATAAAATAAGACTTAATCCAAATAATTTATTAGTGTGTGACATTTTGGTAACAGTATAGTTTCATCATCAGGCAAAATAATTATTTTTTTATTTTTTATTTTGTCTGATGGTGGTAACAATGCTGTTATTGAAAAGTCACACACTAATTATTTGGATTAGGTCTTATTTTCTTGTAATAATAATCTATAATCCAAATTGTGCTTTATCAAATTTCCAATTAAAAAGTGCCCAAGTGGTGGTTGTTAATATGGGCATTGTATACCACAATACTGTTTGGTGTTGTTACCTAGTGTTATTTACCTATATTCCTTTTTTTTCCCCCGATTTGTTCCCCTGTTCAGCATACTTATATAAATTTAGCCCTATATACCATCTCTTGATTGCTCTGGAAACCTCTTTGGACCAAATATTTGGTTATTGAGGACCAGCCTGCATCATGCTGATGAGAGCCAACAGTCCAAAACATGTACATGGTTGGCTTTTTCTTGATTTATCAATAAAATTGGGTTTGGCAAGTATGGAATAAACCTAAATCAATGTATGAAGTGGTCAGGATATGCCTTTTTTAAAAATCCAAATGGTACTTTATCATGATTTAGAAAAGAGCTTAGAGAATATAATATCTAATCCAAATAAATTAATAGTGTGTGAAATTTCAGTAACAGCGTTTCTACATCATCAGACAAAAGAATTTAAAAATTTGATTTTTTATTATTTTTAAATTCTTTTGTCTGATTGTAATGACCCTCTTACCGAAACATCACACACTATTAATTTATTTGGATTAGGTCCTATTTACCTGTAGCAATACTGTGTATCAATTTGATTAATGTTTTATTGAATACTAGCAGAATGACCCGGGCAACGCCAGGGTTTTACCCGATTAAATATTTTTATTCAAATACTATTCGTTACAATTATAAATTGGCGCCGTGGATGTCACTCTTGTGAAACGTCCCGCTCCAAACTTTGTGTCTGAGAAGCGATATTTTTATAGAAAGATGATCTGGCTTTGTGCTCGAATGAATGTTTTTCTGTTAGAATTTTGTTCTTGCATACTAAAAATGAACTGGCTTTACCCGTGGTCTCTGCTTTTTGAAAATGTTCCTGTTATAATTTTGTATCTGATAATCAAACATGATACAGCAATATTGTCATGATCATTTTCTGAATAAAATACAGCTATTTTTGTCCAGAACCTTTCAATTTCAAATTTTCTTGGCTAAAAATCTGATAAATATCTCTTCCAGATTTTTCTCTATGTCCTGTTGAAACACGTTTTACATGTTCATTAGGTCAGCTGATGTTACCTCCCATTTTCACTGCTAGAGGCGCTGCTTGCGAGCGAAAGGACAAATTCACAACACAATTTGCAAATAACTCGAAAAATATTCGGGATAGAGACCTGAAATTTTCACTATAAGTTTTTCCAGATTCTACTCTATATACTGTTAAAATTTCAGTCAGATTAGTTACGTATTGTGGACGTGTATAGCCGACATAGGAACAAACACACATATATACATACACTGACTTTTATATATATAGGGATTTAAATTAGCAATCTTATAGCAAGTTAGCTAATCAAATTCCACATTTGGCACCTTTTTTTTTTTTTTTTTCTGAAGAAAAAATTACTTCAATGGCCTCTTATTCTTGAAAAAATCCAAACCCACTAGTAAACAAACAGGGCTCTGAGACCATTTAAGTGCAAAAGTATTTCTATATGTGCATTTACAGTACATTGTACATTCACAAACTACCCACCAAAATGACCTCTACTTTAGGATATGTAACAAAATTCAGCATTGAAATTATCAGTTTGAAGATGAGAGCAACAGTTGAGAATACACCTTGTGATATATATATGTATTCTTATCTTTTAGATACAAGACCTAATCCAAATAAATTAATAGTGTGTGACGTTTTGGTAACAGGGTTTTTACCATAATCAGACAAAAGTATATTAAAAAAAAGGATCAGGTCTTATTTTCTTGTAGTTATAATCTATAATCCACATTGTGCTTTATCAAATTTATCTTTTATAACTATCTTATAAAATTGAAATATTTTAGCCTTTCCAAGTAAAATCTAAAACCTGATTTGTTTAACACTTCAAGTAGCATGTCCATGCCATTATTGTACCTTCAATTTAGGCCCACCCCCTAGCAGAGCTCAGCTGCCATTGAAGACAAATAGTTACTCAGGAATACCTTGCTATATCACCCTGGCCAAGATTTCATGCTGTTGTTATAACCATGGTTATTTGGACTTGAAGCCATAGGATTATGGTGTTATAACCTCATTGTGGTTATAAAAGAGGCTGTTATAACTCCACTTCACATTTCACTTGACTGCCTCTTTCTCCTAACCAGAAAAACTACATTTCACTTGGTAATTGCCGTCTGGTCCAGTTTTGTTGAATATGATAGAGAGAACCTCCTAAAAGACAACACCCAGAAGTGCTCTTTTACCAGAGAGCTGCTAAATAGCAAAAATTGTAATTTTGTTTTTTGTAGATTGATTTCTCTAGTGAGAGTCTCTCTTGGAGGTTTACTGAATTTTTCGATAGACGTCGCTAGATATTTAATGGATTACTTTTTTCTTTGTGCTTAGAGCATTATATTTTAAAATTACTATTTGATTTTTTAAAAATTATTATCCCTAGCGCACATATGGTACAGGCCATGATAATCATGGTAGGTAGAAGTTGGTGACTGCTTTTACTGTAAGTGCTTCACATGCCTATACATATGAAAAGCAGACTTTGCACTTACAAATGTGCTAGAGCCCCGTTTGGTTACTTGCAATCGCTGGTGGAGTTGGACTTTTGCAAGAATTGGGAGCATTTTTTTTTTTAATTAGAAAAAAGTGTCGAATGCGGGATTCGATCCCGGGTTGTAGCGGTCGAAAAACAACAGTTTCGACCACCCTTCCACTGACCCCCCACTATTTTAAAATGATTAGAGGTACAATTTTTGGATTATAGATTAGAATACCATATACAAATAAATAGTATGCAATGTTTCGGTAACAGTGTTGTTACCCAAACATCACACACTATTTATTTATTTTGATATGGTCTTAGATTTCAGCCTTTTGTCTGATGATGGTAACAATGCTGTTACCAAAATGTAACATACTATTAATTTTTTTTAGTCTTATTACCTTTTGTGATTATTTGAAAATTTATATTTTTCATTCTTATTTACGCATGTACTTAAAATATGAAGAAAATCTAACTTTCTTTATTTGGCTTATTCATTAAGGGAAGTTTTTCACTGTCATCTATATTGCCGGTAACATGACAGTAATTCTTTTGTCAACACCCTGCTGCACACTTTTGAAATATTTTGAAATATTTGGGACTCTCTCTTATTATTATTATTTTTTTTGCTTATCCCTAGTACACGTGGTACAGGCCATGATAATCATGGTGGGTAGTTAACGACTGCTTTTTACTGTAAGCGCACCACATGTCTACACATGTGAAAGCAGTTCGACTTTGCACTTACAAATGTGCCAGAGCCCCGTTTGGTTACTTGCACTTGCTGGTGGGGTTGGACTTTTGCAAGAATCGGGGGGCCATTGGAGCATTTTTTTTTTTAAACAGAAAAAAGTGTCCAATGCGGGGATCGAACCCGGGTCGTTGTGGTCGTAAACCAAACGGTTTAACCAGCCTTCCACCGACCCCCCACTCTCTCTTATAAAATAGAGAAGTTTCATTGCAATTATGATCTCATTTGGATTAAATTTTCCCAGGCATTCTGAAGCCATCCATTTATCTCAATGTCGTTTTTTTATCTCTAGTTTCACTTTCATTAGAAATAGATTTGTAGCAAATATTTCCATTTTTGTGTACTTCTCAAATCACCCCTCGTTAGCTATTGCCAGAAATTGTAATCAGGTCCCCACTTACTGTCTGATGGCCTGTTTAACCCAAATATGTACATTGAGGAAATATTCCATTTCTTTTGAAATCAGTTCTACCATTCTGTAGATACATTGTTTATTTATCTTTTAGATATTACATTGATATGGCACAATTTGGATTTATAGATTATAAACACAGGGTAATAAGACCAAATAAATAGTGTGTGACGTTTCAGTAACAGTGTTGTTACCATCTTCAGGCAAAAGTACTGATTGCACATGGTCTAGTGGCTAAGATATCTGGCTTTCACCCATGACCTGGGTTCGATTCCCGGCGTGGGAATTTTTTTTTTCATTCAGTACTTTGGTTTGAAGATGGTAACAATGCTGTTACAGAAACGTCACACACTAATTATAATTTATTTGGATTTGGTCTTATTACCTTGTGTAGATATTACATTATAATAGTTTGTCTTGAGATCAACATCACTTCAGAAATTGTGGGGAGGTCTTGAGACCAAATCCTGTGTTTACTAATCTCATGGCTGGTAAACATGGGACCCAGTCCCAAGATCTCCCAGAATGGTGTTTTGAGATCAACCACTTTCTATTTCTCTAACAATTTTTTGCTTTTCAACTAATGTTAATTGATTTTATTTTTTTTCAGAGGATGGGGTTGGTGGAAGGGTGGTCTAAACTGTTTGTTTTTAGTCGCTATGACCTGGGATCAAATCCCGCATTGGGTACTTTTTTTATATATATAAAAAAAAAAAAAAATGCTCCAATGGCCCCTGATTCTTGCAAAAGTCCAACCCCATCAGTGAGTGCAAATAACCAAACAAGGCTCTGGCATATTTGTAAATGCAAAAGTTGAACTGATTTTCACATGTGTGGACATGTGGTGCACTTACAGTAAAAGCAGTCGCCAACCTCTACCCACCATGATTATCATGGCCTGTACCATGTGTACTAGAGATAATAATAATATGTTGGCCTAGATAGGTAGCACATCTCTCATTTCCCAAAGTAATTCTTCCACAATCTCCAGTATTTTAAAAGAAAAATATAAATAAAGTAACAGAAAAAGCTTGATTGGCGTACTAGGGATAATAACAATAGAAATTTTTTTTCAGAAGAACATTTTGAATTAAATTTAAATGTGAGTTATTTGGTTAATCCAAGTTCCTGAAGCCTACAATAGTGTAACTCTTTCTTTCAACATATCGATAAAATGATGTTGTTTGGGAGCTTAATTAGTTCCTTCACTTTGTAATCAGTTAGATAACCCTCAATAGTGCATGTAGCCAAATATAATTGTCACAGTGCATCAAGCTGGCCAGTGGAAGGCCAATATGTTTGGTTCTCTCCTATAGATATAGATAGTTATAGTCTCCTACAGCTAATTATTGACCAGCTGTTATCACTCTTGTTTAGATCTGTTTGCCCCATGTCTCCATTTTACAGACTTTTCTTTCAATATGACATCCTTTTAATAGGTCTCTAATTCTTCAGCCAAATAAGTTTATGAGCTTCTTTTTCCCAAGATGTGAATTCAGATAAGAAGTTGAAATACAAGCAGCTCCATGGATCCAGGTCTTCTCTTCACAAGGTGAGCGACTTTCTCCTTAATTTGTACCTCCCACCCTCGCTATGACTCCACCATGGGATGCTGGGCCTATAGACCATTTAGCTGTTTTCCACAGTAGATATACTATTCCAAATATTGAGATTATACTAATATTTATACTCAGCAGGTCATTGATACAGTAGAACCTCCCTGTGTATAGGACAACACCTAATTGCAGAACCAAAGTGTCTTTTAGGGAGAGGTGTCCTCTTACCGGAGAGTTGCTAAATAGTAAAAATGGTAATTTTGCAAATGAAAACTGTCCTTTATAGAGAGATGTCCTTTAGCAGGAGTGCCCTCTCATAGAGGTTCTACTGTGCTAAAAAATTCGCCATATCCTGATAAAGAGAATGGGCCAAAGTTGAGAACACCATTTCGACTAATGGTTCAAGTGTATAACTGAGGCATGGTAGATGTTGTTGATCTGTCAGACCAAATGATCGGCACCTATATTAATGTAAGAAAGTCCATCAAGTGGTTGTTTTATGTAATTATGAGAGCTATGCTCAATGTGGTGGTGGTGCTTATCTCCATGGCTAAACCAATTTCTGAAGTCCACTCCTCCCCAATTTTGCAATGGTAGTTATAGGCCTGGACAATAGGTCCTATATTGTCAGTTCTGAGCATGACAAGATATGCTCCCAAGAAGCTTCTGCACTATTGCATTTCAAGCAGTTATTGAAGGTTTTTTGTCCATTTTGAAATTTTAAGGTTTTTATATATGGCCACTTCTTAGTCTTGCTAAAGCTGTTTGTTGATTTCTATTGAGTTTTTGAAGTTCTTCTAATTGTTTCAATGTACCAGTGATGATTTGGATAATATGCTCAATGTTATCATCCTTTACAAGAAAAACATCTCCAAACTAATGAATAGGCTGCTTTTGAAAATTGATTGAGCTATGATGGATGAAAAGATCATCAGCATGCCAGGACCCTCTCAAAAAATGGTATCCCCATCATGGAGCATATTTCAGAGTAGCATGTCTACTATATACAGTTAAACCTGTCTATAGCGCCCGATTTTAAATACGTAGTACGATGCGATCTAAATTAAAAGTGACCTGTCTAAAGCACACCCTCTCTATAGCACCCTATTTTGGTGAGTCCCAAGAGAGGGGGGGGGGGGGGGGGGGGGCTATAGACAGGTTTAACTGTATATAGGGAGTGAGAGAAGAAAAAGAATGTACCATTTGTAACACAGGTTTCTGCATGGGTGACTGCTAAAATATTCATCAGAGTGTATATCTAGATTTTCTCTAATATACAAGGCTTGAAATACAGTAGAACCTCCCGGTAAAGGACACCTAATTGCAGAGCCAAAGTGTCCTTTAGGGAGAGGTGTCCTCTTACCAGAGAGTTACAAGATAGTAATTTTGCAAATGTAGAGAGGCATCCTCTAGTGCAAGTGTCCTCTAATGGAGGTTCTACTGTACTATTTTTATTTTAATATCTTTATACCTTTTATTTTCATAATTTTTTAATTGTGTTTAAATAATTATATATTCTCTTACCCCCATTAAATCAATGTTTCAAACAAAAGCCTCATTTACACTCATGGACAAAATTTAAGGAAGTTGTACCTTTAGCATGTATATCAGGATTCAGACAATAACTCTGAAAGATATTTGATACACATTCACCTTTATTGTAGGCACAAGATAACCAAGTGTAAACAAAATTGTCTCTTGTCTCCTTCAAAAAAAAAATAATAGACGAATGGTGACATCAAGACATGCCATTTCCTTAAGTTTTGTTCCCATGAGTGTAAGTGAATTATAATAAACCTTCTTCTTCTTTCTTATCTCCATTCAATCATATTAGGATATCAATTTGAGACCCTTGATGGTGTCTGTTTGACAACCATCATGACTGGGTGAAGTAGAATGCGGCTGCCTTTGTCATTAAGACTGGGAGCACTACCCAGTTGCAGGCCGACTTAGCTTCAAAAGAAATGGCCACCTCTGTCATGAGGAAAAGACACCATGTGCACAGCTGCTTCTAACATGGAGTACAAACGCTGCTCATCCTGTATCCCAGAATCAGGAGCCCTTACAGGGTACTATCAGCCGGGTCAGCTGAGCCCAGGTTTTTTACCGAGCTTGTTACTGCTTCCCCATCTCCTTTTTCATCCGGGTTTGGGACTGGCAAAGGCGGAGTTAATATACCTAATAATAATATACCTGAATAATAAACCTTAATCATGAAATTACTTATTAAGGCACTTCAATATTATTATTTATTTCCATGTTTCAATGACCTGTTGTCACACTTCTGAAGGAAAGCTATTTTTATGGAATTTTTTAAATGAAATTTCTGATATTAAAAAGACAGAGCATGCAGAGCGATGCATTGATATTTCATAAAGTGGTAAAAAGCAAACATAAAATATCATAAATAATAAAGTACAATTTGAATTATAGTTACAAGAAATTAAGATCTAATCCAAATAAATTAATAGTGTGTGATGTTTCGGTAACAACGCTGTTATCGAAACGTCAGCATTTATTTTTTGTCTGATGATGGTAACCACGCTGTTACCGAAACGTCACACCATTAATTTATTTGGATTAGGACTTATTGTGATTATTAATTTTTAGTTAATATTAACTAAACTTACCACTAGACCCGGGTTCGATTCCCGCATTGGATACTTTTTTCTGTTTAAAAAAAAAAATGCTCCAATGGCCCCTGATTCTTGCAAAAGTCCAACCCCACCAGCGAGTGCAAGTAACCAAACGGGGCTTTGGCACATTTGTAAGTGCAAAGTCGAACTGCTTTTCGCATGTGTAAACATGTGGTGCGCTTACAATAAAAAGCAGTCGCTAACTACCCACCATGATTATCATGGCATGTACCACGTGTACTAGGGATATGCAAAAAAAAAAAAAGTTATAGCTTTCTTATTGTATTATATATCTGGATTTTATTTATTCTATTGTATTGGGCTCAATGGTTTACACCATGAAATGTATTAAACGATAAGAACTCTTAAAATTTGGTTAAAGGAATAAGCATAAAAAGACTAAGAGGAGCTTCTTTCAAAATTTTATTCTGCAAGCTTTCGGACTAGACGTCCTTCTACAGGCAAAGGATAGTTTACAACTATCCTTTGCCTGTAGAAGGACGTCTAGTCCGAAAGCTTGCAGAATAAAATTTTGAAAGAAGCTCCTCTTAGTCTTTTTATGCTTATTCCTTTAACCATGAAATGTCTCAATGCATAATTTGGTTGAAATTATAAACACAATAAGACCAAATCTAAATAAACAATGCTGTTACTGAAGCGTCAGCATTTATATTTTTTGTCTGATGATGGTAACAAAGCTGCTACCAAAATGTTACACACTATTTATTTGGATTAGTTCTTAATTTCTTGTAATAAAAATATCATTTTTGGAGAATGGGGAGACAACAGGTTGTCAAAATAAACAATAAGAAAGGTTGTGAAGTGACAATATTTATGAATCCAACCTACAGAAATGTTTCCTATTTTTTTTTTTTTGCTTATCCCTAGTACATGTGGTACAGTCCATGATAATCATGGTGGGTAGAAGTAGGCGGCTGCTTTTCGACTTTGCACTTACAAATGTGCCAGAGCCCCGTTTGGTTACTTGCACTCGCAGATGGGGTTGAACTTTTGCAAGAATCGGGGGCCATTGGAGCATTTTTTTTTTTTTAAATCAGAAAAAGTGCCCAATGCGGAAATCGAACCCAGGTCAT